TAATAATAATTGACGACGGTGACGATGAGGATGATGATGATGATGATGATGATGATGATGATGATGATGATGATGATGATGATGATGATGGTATATTGCATTTTTATAATAAAGTGCTCTATCCCAAACAAGACAACCTATGCTCTCCGAGCGCTTTACATCAATGACAAGATTTCTGAGAATGAGTATGGTAAATGGGAATAAAAAAACCCCCAAACAAACATTGCGAAACAGGCGTTTGCTAGGAACTATTTATCGTTTAGGCTGAATGCCTACTGATTCTGAATTGACGGAAGCAGAGTAAAGTATACACCTTTCGTAAGAATAAAACGCCTCTACCCAACGAGGGAGAGAAAGGGATGCTCAACTTTCTATTTCAAATAAAGCCTTTTACTGCTTGGCAAGATCGTAGAGTAGGCAATGTTTTGAGGCGGACTTACTCACTATCATGTGCTGGAAGGTCACACAAGGGAATGCTGTTCCTAATCAGCAGAAACAAATTATTCACCTTATCATTCAAAATATTTCTTAAGGCGAGAGCTGCTAGCTCACAGCGGAAGAATATCTACAATCACTTGTGAGAAACCTTTACGATAATTTTTTTAGTTATTTACTACTACTGTGTTCTTGAATGAAAAAGCACAAAGAAAGCGTTTATGAGTGTGTTTGCGTGTGTGTCATTCTTTGTGTTTATCCTGGTTTTCTTGTGGTTATATTATGTTGAAGTACCCCCTGCCTAAATTAAACTGACTGACTGGTTGATTGATTGACTTACAGTAAGTTCCATGAAAACTTTCCATTCCATTTTGCCTATGATACTTCATTGATTATCTTGTACAGCTTCTGAAGGAAGTGAAGCAGGTAGAATGGAACTTAAATAAAAAGGCCAAGAAGGATCCCCAGCAGTATTTTGGAATTATCCAGAGAAAATTGTTTATGAAGGCAATTTTTGTTCGTACATCAGTGACGAAAGTTTCCCGGAATGGATCTTTCTCGTACACCCAGCGGTCACATTTCCTGGTTTCGTTGGTCAAGTGGTCATCAGTTTTGTAGAGTCGACACTTGGAATACGCCTCGTCACTGTCGGACCACGGGATGCTGCAGTTGACGAGGTCGTCATGCCAGGAGCCCTGGCTTTGGTACGTGTCGTTGTCCAGTCCGGGAATAGCACACCTGGGGTAACAAAAAAGAAAAAAACGGTATTGAACCCGTCTTCTGTTCACTGTTGAATGTTGAACTGATATTTCAATAGGTTTGTGATAGCGTTATAAACGACTATAACATTAAAACCGCCACTGATGCCGCGTTTGTGAGATAATGGTACTTGTATTGTTTCTTTATTTACGTGGACTTTCCAAACCAATACACGTGCCATTGATACGCCAGACGAGGAGCAGTGCAAGTAAGGTTAGCAACCCCCCCCCCCCCCAAAATGCATTGTGGGTGGAGGTGGGGTTTCAGGGAGGCTTGCCCCTTGGTATAATAAATCAGTGATTTTTCCATGTTTTTTGGTGTGATTAGGACGAATCAAATTTGGCATACAAATCTGGGCTCAAAACTTACGGAGGGGGAGTTCCCCCACCCCCTTATTTTCTCACATTTAATTTGATTTGCGATGACTTTGAGGGTCAGAGTACTTCACTTCAGATTACAAACACACATACACACACACACACACGCACGCACATACACACACACACATACACACACATACACACACACACGCACATACATACACACACACAAACACACACACACAAAATCACCAATTCTCCAAGTGAGAAGGGCCCAATAATGCAAAATTACTGAAAAAAGTTTGTGATTGAATTTTAACAACACAGTAGTCACAGTGAAGAACAATAATTTGAAAGAAGAGACTTTGACCCTGTGTCATAAATATAACATAATAATAATATTATTATTATAAATAATAATAATAATAATAATAATAATAATAATAATAATAATAATAATAATAATAATAATAATAATAATTTCGTTCGTCGATCTGACAAAGGCTTTTGATACAGTCAGTAGATCAGGACTGTACATGGTGCTTGGAAAAATTGGCTGTCCCCCAATACTGCTACAGCTCATCATCTCATTCCACGAAGATATGAAAGCCACCATTCAGTTTGACGGTTCAACATCAAACAGTTTCAGCATCAATAGCGGAGTAAAGCAAGGTTGTGTTTTAGCACCAACCCTTTTTAGCACTTATTTTGCTGTCTTACTGCAATACGCATTCAAAGAGTCACCAGGGGATGTCTTCCTCCACTGGACAACTGATGGGTCGCTCTTCAATCTTGCTCGACTCAAGGCCAAGACCTAGATTAACAAAACAACAGTACGAGACCTTCTCTTTGCCGATGATGCTGCTCTTGTTGCTCACAGTGAATCAAGCCTACAAACAATGATGGACCGCCTATCTACAGCATGCAAGGTCTTTAGCTTGGTCATCAATGTTAAGAAAACAGTCATCCTTACCCAAGAAGGTGCAGAGCAGAGCATATGGCTGAACGACAAAGAACTTAAGAGAGTGGACAAGTTCTGTTACCTGGGGTCTACCATCAGCTCTACAACATCACTTGATTATGAGATCAACATCAGGATAGGGAAAGCAGCAACAACTTTTGGAAGGCTGACAAAACGAGCATGGGAAAACAAAAGATTAACCATCAAAACAAAGATCAAGATTTACGAAGCATGTGTCCTCAGCACACTTCTTTATGGATTTGAAACATGGACCTTGTACAGCAGACAAGAAAAGCGCCTCGACATTTTCCATCTCAGATGCTGCCGCAAGATCTTAGGCATTTCTTGGCGTGACAAGGTTTCAAATGTCGAAGTGTTGGCACAGGCAAACCTCCAGAGCATGACAACTATCCTTTGTTTAAAAAGATTGAGATGGCTTGGCCATGTCAAGAGAATGGATGACAACCGGATTCCGAAGCAACTTCTCTATGGAGAACTTGCCCAGGGAAAGAGACAAAGAGGGAGGCCAAAATTGAGGTACAAAGACACCTGCAAAAACAACTTATCTAAGCTTGGAGTAGATTTTCACATCTGGGAAGAAATAGCTGTGGACCGAAAAACATGGAGGAAAATTATAAAGGAAAGAACTAAAATGCTAGAGAACAGCCTTAGAAACAACCAGGCTGAGAAGCGCCAACGACAAAAGGAAAACAGTGGAAAAACAGAGCTTCGATCTACGACACTGACATGCAAGCACTGCGACAGAATCTGCGCTTCAAACATAGGAAGAATTTGCCATGAAAGAAGCTGCATGAAGACAACATTGAGACCATCTTAAGCTAAATTGACCGTCTGCATAGACGACAAGAGCCATACATACATTACAATAATAATAATAATAATAATAATAATAATTATAATAATAATAATAATAATAATAATAATAATAATAGATAGCATTTGCATAGCGAAAATTCCCGCTCAACAGCAAGCTCTATGCGCTTCACAATCTACATTATTACCCTAGCAGACCTGAGAGCATTCTGACACAACCTCAACTTTCTTGGAAGCATACAGTTCAAGCAGCCATTTATCTATGATCTATTTTTGGTGGCCGAATTTTGGTGATGGTGTAAGGCGAAATCCGTATTTTGTGATTGTGAAGGGCTAGACAGCAATACACTAAAGCAGTGTATATCAAGAAAGGAGTTAATCAAGGCAGACTTAAACTAAAGCAATATAGATCTAGAAGCCAGGTGTAACTGTGAAATGCTAGACAGCAAGGTACATGTAGATGTAAAATGACTCTGCGGCATAGACCAGTAGGAGCAATGACGCCAAGGCGTCGACCCCGAGCAAAGCCGGGTGCTCAGCTAGTAGGCCCTAAAACACAAACATGTTGACAAGATCTTTCGCTGTCTATAGCCGGGTACCCATTCACACTTAGGTGAAGTGAGGAAAATTCGAGTAAAGTGCCATTCCCAAGGACACAACGTCGGCCCCGTGGCTCGAACCCCCGAACCCGCAACCTCATGATTTCAAGTCCCGTAGCCTAACCACTAAGCCACCGACGCTACATTATCGTACAAAGAGCCCAACTCGGATTCGAACTCGTGGCTCTTAGATGTTGACCATAATGATATATACTTATTTACAGCTCTGTCTACATGGCAATAAGCACAAAAGAAGAAACACCAACCTGGAATTATGACATAGGAGTAAGCAAATGTGGTTCATATTTGAACGACAGCCTCGTTTAAAAAGTGTTGACCTGCCAAAAACCTAAAACATAAGCTCTTTGGTCACGTGGTGAACACAAAGTGGACATAATTATTCATTTTTCTGGTCACTTTTTGAGATAAAGTATATACCGTGCAGTGTGCAATTACATAGTGAAAGCAATACAAACGTGCCTGTGATGCTGTGGTGAGGCACTTCGCTGGGGAGATAATTTTCACCAAGTATCTCTGTCTATCTGCTGGGATGTTGTATTCTCACTAGCTCGAGTTGGCCCTGACGGGGCTTTCTGAATCGTCTAAAAGGTGTCGATGGGTACGCAAAACGCGTACATTTAAAAAAGAATTAAGAGCAATACACATACACATTAGCCCATTCTAAATCCCATCCCATTTTTCTTGGCTGATAGCGATTCCCGCCAATTACATCTCACAGACTGTAAACGAGACAACATTGGCGACCTAAGTTTGTCATACAACTGTAGGTCCTGTACTTTCTAGGTTCTTTAGCCTTCGTCAACGGTGCTCCTAGGTTTTCTATCTTTGCATTCTTTTTATTTTCAATAGTACTAATAACAGTGTAATGCATATATCGTCAACTTGCCAGTGTGCGGTCTCATGACAAGGCTAACGTGATCCGGTGGCTTGTGGCGAGAGACGCTTCCTGTTTCTTGAAATGCAACCTGAATCCAAAGAAGCTATATATTTTATGTCACGACCCGGTGGAATCAGGTTCCGGTTAATTTTTGTGTGGAATGTGGAATTATTAGTATTATCTTACAGCCCTCTCTCTCTTCTCCTTCTCTCTCTCTTTTTTTCTCTCTCTCTCAACACACACACTCTCTCTCTTTTTCTCTCTCTCTCTCTCTCTCTCTCTCACACACACACACACACATACACACACACACACGCACACCCTCTCTCTCTCTCTCTTACAAACACACACACACACACACACACACACACACATACACACACACACACACACACACACACACACACACACATACACACACACACACACACACACACACACACATACACACTCACCTATGGTTTGGCACCAAAAGTGTGAAGATAGGCCCCAGTATGTTCATAGCGTCTGGAATCGCTACGATACACACCAGGAAGTAAAGGCGCTTCTGGTACCTCCCGAACTCTCCCAACTCAGAAATGACGTCATCGAACCTCATCCTGGTACCTCACAGCCTACAAACTTGTTTTTTTCTGAAGGGTTATGAAGATGGAAAGTGAAAAGTCAAAACTACGAATCATGAAGAATATTTTGGTTGTTGCATTTTTGGGGGGGTTGACGCTTTTAAATTTGGAAGGATGACGACAAATAGAAAAAGGGAGGGAAAGTGAGATCGAGAGAAAGAAAGAGACCGAGGAGAGCATGGGATAGAGAGAGAGAGAGAGAGAGAGAGAGAGAGAGAGAGAGAGAGAGAGAGAGAGAGAGAGAGCAAGAGAGAGATAGGGAGAGACATAGAAAGAGAGAGAGACATATAAAGAGAGAGAGAGAGAGAGAGAGAGAGAGAGAGAGAGAGAGAGAGAGAGAGAGAGAGAGAGAGAGAGAGAGAGAGAGGATATATGGATGGATGGAAGAATTTAACACAGTCTGTTACCCTACCTACCTACCAAGTTTAGTTTGCTTCTTTTACTTTACTTTTACTTTTCCGATCCTGCGGCCACCCGGGTTCTTGCCCTTCGGCCTGTCGATAAGGCAGACTTTTCTTGTTTTTATCAGCTGTGTTTTGTCCCTGTATAAAGTATTTCCGATATATTAGTTTGCTTCAAAGGAAGAATATTTTATTTTCGCATATGCCAGAGAACTAATAGAAAGTATTCCAAAAGGAACCACGAAAATCAAGCTCATCTCATTTGGATCCTCGAAAACCCGCGTTACAGTCAAGTACGCATCAAAACGCAGCAAATCAGACTGAGTTCTTTATTGTTAGAAAAAAAGCGCTCAAAACACTTGGCCTTTGTGGAAAGTAAACAGCCCTCTTGCTCTACTATGTCTTCTTTTTTTTTTTTGGCTTCCTACTGAGTCGAAGTTTTCTAATTTTTCGCTTCTTTGAGTATTTTTTTAATGGATTTTTTTAAAGTGTCGTGTGGAAGGAACAAAAAAACAATAGCACATCTATTTATGATGATTCGTTCATTATTACTTTCAATTTTCCAAAGAGACGAGGTGTTCAACGTAATAATCCTTCAAACTGAAACGGTAGCAACACCGAACTGCTGGTTGCTGAAGTGTGGCGTCCTCTATGTGAACTAGGGTTATAAAGGTTTAAAAAAAAAAGAATCTTATATGCCACATAAAAAGGCCAAATGACATCAAAGAAATTAAAAAAAACCCTGAAAGATGTCATTAAAAGTCCATACTGAGCGATAGGAAGCTCAAGTTATGTAAACATTGAAATCTCAATTGCCGCACGCTACTTATAAGAATTCGAATATTACAAAAGAACCTTAAATGTAAATGTAGGTGAACTGCAGAAAATAAAGGCTTGAAATGAAAAAAAAAGGAAAATGAATGGGATAAAAAAAGAGAAGTACAGTAGTAGTTCTTAAAAAATAAAATGTATAGACGTAAAGAAAGCAAATATCACATAGTAAAATGACATGCAAAATAACAAGTTTCACGTGTGCCTTGTAAGATTATACAGGAAGTTCAAAGTTCAGAAATATCAGTCAAGGAGCAAATTAATGTTTTCCACTTGCCTGTAATAGGGCTACCTACCCCAACGTTCCAATTTCAGGTAAGTTCAAAATAGCAAGTTTCACATTTTAGTACAAACTTGTTCAAATACCACATAGTTAAATCAAATACACCCCAAACCAACGTCAGCGCACATTCACATAGTAGCAATATGCGTTGCCATAAACCAGTCAAGGAGTAGATTTTTTTCACTTGCCTGTACCAGGGCTGCCTACCCCAACGTTCCAGTTTCAGGTCAATTCAGGGTCAATTATTTGGCCCAAAATCAGGTAGGACAAAGGAAGGAAAAAAAAAGATGATCGTTGGTCCAGTACACATAGTAACCATCGAACGGGACTTGCTTTCGTGATATTGGGAAATTAGATTTTGAAAACTTGTTGTGCATGCACATGTGTGTGTGTGTGTGCGTGTGTGTGAGTGTGTATGTGTGTGTATGTGTGTGTATGTGTGTGTGTGTGTGTGTGAGTGTGTGTGTGTGTGTGTGTGAATGTGTGTGTGTGCGTGTGTGTGTGTGTGTGTGTGTGCGCGCGCGTGCGCGGACGCGCGCGCGTGCTTTCGCGTGTGTTTATGCTTGTGGGGAGGGAAGGCGTTTTTTGGGTGAGCACAAATTAAGGTGAACAGTGTTTATGAAATGAGGCGAGTTTATTATTTT